TAAAAAAGTCTATGATTCTTGACCACAGCCCACACACAGTCTGGCCTTGCAGTCCTGCGCAAGTGAGAAAAGCCTGAAGAAGATTAAAGGATTCTGAGCACCATAGAGAGTGTTGTCTTAAAAAGACGGAAGAAATCTGCCGATTTCTGGACCCCACCAAGACCAAGAATCCCTATTTATATAGCACTCTTCTTTCCACCTCCCTTCCAACTTCCCCCCTTGCTCTCTCTTCTTCCACCCACAGCAGAAACAGCAGAGTATTACTTCATCAAACAAATTGAAAACATCAGCCTGTGTTCTTCCCAAGGGCCTGAATTCCTTCCCAAACATATCAACAAATCTACAGTCACTCCCATCTTTTCAGATTTCCTTCCAATCTCTCCAAAGATGAGGCATCCGCCTTCCAGTTCAAAACTAACTCCTCCCAGCTTCATCAGACTCTTGCACCATTAATTATCCCTTCTCTCCCGTATTCTTTATTTCACTCTTTCCTTCCCTAATAGTTCCTTCCCCTCTGCCTGTAAACATATTCAAAACTCTTCCATCTTTAAAAGTGTTTTCTAATAACCTTATCTCCCTTTAATTGCTGTCTTGTATTCTTCCTTCCCTGCCTGTCCTTACTTCCAGAAAAAGTCTCCTCTACTTCTCTATTATCATAGCCCAAGCCTGTGCTAGCTTTTTTAGGAAGTGTATCATACTCTTGGCACATTTTAAGTTTATAATCAACTAAAATCTCTGAGTCATTTTTTAAGCAATTGTTGCCAGGCTAAATCTCTCTCATCTTGAATTTGAGCAGTCTATTGTTAGAAAACAAACTTAAAAATGGAAGTTTTCATGATTCTTACTAATTTAATGTTACTAGTTTTTAAATTCTGTTGTCTCCTGCTTTGTGTTATCTCCCATTTACTCAATTCACTGCCCACTTTGTGCTCCAGATTCTGTTGGATTCTTCATGGCTTCCTTGGATACTTGGTCTGAGAGGGGTTATCCCAAACTGTCTTTTCAGGGATTGTATCCAGATGCCTGTGAACCCTTTTGGGAGGTCTGTTAAGAGCCCATCTGCCTCTGCCCATAAGATTCCACTGAAACTGATTTCATTAAGGTCACAAGAACCTCCAAATTCTTGTGGATTTTTTCTAAGTATGCACTGAATTTCTTTCCTTCCTTCCATCCCGCCTTCCCTCCTTTCTCCTTCCCTTCTTCCCTGCCT